TGCAAAGGTTTGCTAAAGATCCAACTACTTAACCACCTCTCCTACCCCTTACTTTTGTGAGATAGGGCTCCATGCTACCCAGTCTGGCTTTGGACTCACTAATCTGTGGCTGACCTTGAACTCGCTACTGATTCTCCTGCCTAGACTTCATGAGTGGCAAGCTTTTGATGTGTACTATTATTCCTGGTTTAAATATTTCTAAATATTATTACCTTAGAAAAGTAGACTACAATAAGACCAGAATTAATGGAGGATTTGGTTGATAGAGTAGAATTAGCTAACTGAAGGAAAGAGTGTTCATATTGGACTGAACAAATTCACAATTGTGACACATTCATAACGAACGTTTTGGAGATGCTAAAGTCTACCACATCCGTGTCCAATTATCTTTCCTACTTAAGTCTTTAGAATTGATCTTCTGGGAGAAAAAGATGTTGGATCCAAAAAGGACAATGAAACATACAGTAATTTAAGGATAGCTCTGCTCAGGTCTCCTACTCCCGGGGAAGAGGAATTTATTCCACTACTTACAAGAAATCAGATCACAGCTGAAGTACAAACTGTGCACCAGATGTAACAGGAATTCCACAGCAGAGAAAAAGCAAGGGAAGGGAAAGAAACAGAATGGAGCTGGTGACCTTAACAAGAGAGGCTGCCACCACAGGGTGTCATTGAGGAGCTTTGAAACCCTAGGGAACAGACCCCAAGGAGGAGGAGACCCCACGGAGGAGGAGCTCTATAAACAGGAATGGAGAAACTACGGGATGGATGCTAATGCTCGTTTACCTAGAGTTTAGGTAGGCCCTTTTGCACTTTTTATTTACTTGAATTTTTTTATAATTGTATCAATTCTCCCCTCGGAACCCTTCCCATGTCTCCTCTCTTCTTACCCTACCGTGTTCCTTAAAGTCAGGGTTAGCACGTGGTTAAACCCCATGCCCTGAGAGACCTGTCTAAATCCCAAGGAAACACTTGTTACACTTCTTGTTTTCGTTCCTAAAGTAAACTTTAAAAATGATGACCACATCCAAATGCCCTGAAAGTCTATGAAATATCACACTCTATGATAGGAGATGCTGGAGGCAGACTCCACTTAGAAGAGGGACAATTTCATCAGCAGAACCACTTAGGCAGAGAAAGACAAATTAATTAACTTGTCAAATTCTTCCTCTCACAAAGCATGAATGCAATGGGTATCAAAACACCATATCCCAGCGGTGCCAAGTGTCCATTTATTTGAATGCAGTTGGGGATTCAAAAGCACTCCCGCATTAGCATGGCAGTCAAAGCGCGACTCACAGTTGCCGGAGGCACTGTTTGCAATGTGTGTATTCGCATGTGTCAGCATGTCACCTGCACGCTTGGTGATATTCTTCGCAGTATCTAGGCTTTGTGTCAATATTTTGTCTTTAAATTTCCGATATTTAAATTTTTTTAGCTTGTATTTCACTTTTTCATCTTACAATTTCATCTTGAATATTTTTAAAGCGAATACATACTTTTTGGTTTTCAAACTCTTTGCGCATGTGTGATTTATGGTTTATGTGCATGTGGGTTCATGTACACGTGTGTGCACATATGTGTAGAGGCCGGAGGTTAATGATGAATTTTGTTCCCAATCACTCTCCACCTTGTCTTTTGAGATAGGGTCTGTAAGTGAACCTTGGAGTCGTTGATTGAGCTAGGTTGACTGTACATTGAGCTCCCATGATCCTCCTGTCTCTAGCTTTTGCATAGGTTTTTAGAGGTACAAACCCAGGCTCCCAGGTTTGCAAATCTACTGTCTTTTTTTTTTTTTTTTTTTTTTTTTTGGTTTTTTGAGACAGGGTTTCTCTGTATTGTTTTGGAGGCTGTCCTGGAACTCGCTCTGTAGACCAGGCTGGCTGGCCTCGAACTCACAGAGATCCCCCTGCCTCTGCCTCCCGAGTGCTGGGATTAAAGGCGTGCGCCACCAACGCCCGGCCTAAAATCTACTGTCTTAATAATTTGTAAGTGTTTATAACTGCACCATAGTAGCGTTACTAAATGTACCTAGTTGTGCAATAAGTCTCTAGAAACTTCTCATTGTGCAAAACTGAAATACTATACCCTTTGACAATAATTTGTCCTCCTTGCCTGTCCCTTAAATTTTACTAAAAAACAAATGTTTGTGAAAATATCAGACAATTTAATCTATTTTTATTTTGAGCTGTAGTTTCAATTCTCATGAAAATAAATTCAGAAATTGCCAAAATTTAAATGTAACTTTATCTTAATATTTTAACCCTTGAGATATCAAGCTCAGTAATATATCATTATATGAACATGTAATTATATTAAACTAGTGACTTGGTTAGAGTGAAAAAGTTATGGAATCTATGATGGTTTATGAATTATGCATGCCTTTATTTTCTTACTCATCCCAAGCTCTTTCAGCAGAATACCCAGACATATGCAATAACAATTAATTCAGTCATTCCTGTCATTTTGCCAGCTTAAAGTCATAGAAAGGCCAAAATTTTACTCACATTTTTCAATTTTTGTCTCTGTGAAATATGATTGTCAAGGAAGGAAAACAGAACATATTTTGTTTGACAGCTTATTAGCTTTAAGCACTTAGGCATATGGTATGTGGGCCTTTATTTGTACTCTTGTCCTGGTCTCCAAAATATAAGCATGCCTGGTTGTAATTGAATGTGTAATTATCTCTCCTCATTACGTCAGCAAAAATTATGGAGAGTCAGTTATCACTGTATCTCCAGCATTGGGTACAATCCTGCTTCATGATTGACCTTCAAAGAAATATGAGTATAACAAGTCACCTTCATTGATGACAACTAACCACGCTATGGGTGTGAACCATGGTTCTAGGGTCAAGAGTGCCAAAGATAGATAAGGTACAAGCTCCCATAAGGCAATTGCCAACTGATTGGGAACGCTTCTAAAACTCATATAGGTGCTTGCTAATAGTTCCAAGTAGTAAATCTTTCTGAATCCCAACCGTGATGTTTAATATGCAGATAATAATGAAGATAATACTGTGCAGGGTTGTGAAAATTAGAAAAGTCACTATTTGAAATGCTTAACACAAGACCGTCATGGGCTCTGATCTGAATAACGCAGATGATGGTGGTGAGCCATGTACTTTAGTGGTCCTAGCAGACGCAGTCATAGCACTGGAGTAGTCTTAATGGCATTAGTGGTGGTTGATGTGGAAGTTCTGTGCCCAGCAGTGTCTATGGGCTCGGGGGCTTGTGACTGGCATCATAAAGAAAACCACACAGGTATTAGACTGTCAAGAGCACCTCAAAAAGCATGCACTTTTGAAAAGACAAGTGGAGGAGTCTGCTCTGGATAAGAAGACAATTGAAGAGACAGGCGTGCGGGATCCCACGGGTCAGGTGAGCGAGCAGTGGGAAATGAGCAGGGTGATACAGGCCAGGAGAGAGGTTTCCTTCACAATGGAAGTGCCTTGCAAAGAAGGGAAGAGGGGTGGTTACAATCAAGGAGTAGCAGCAGGGAGCAAAGAGGAGTCTGACCCCTCCTGCCAGCCATAGGGCATAGTGGATGACAGAGAATAAACAGGCAGACTTGAAAGGGCTGCGGGGGATTTAAAGTCACTGGGGAAGACCTCGGTGTCAATTAGAGGAAAGAACTGAGAGAGCACTCTGGGGAAACACTAAAACCCCTGACTTACTGGAACCCAGCACCTCCAGGCCTCAAGGTGGACGCTTTGATGCTACGGGGTTGAGTGAAGATCGGGAAGATGGGTCAGGGGAGAGGAAAAACAGCCTCCCCGGGACAGGGCGCAGGGAAGAAAGATGTGAGGCTCCGAGTTTCTTTGGAATCCATGTGCTAGGTGGCTTCTGCTGCTGAACTAACTGATGAAGACAGGAGAGGTACTGAAAATTCATTCTCACCAGCTTCCTCGGAACAGAAAATATGTTACTGTCTTGTCGCCAAATGTGCGTGAATCTTAGATGAGAAATGAATGTCCCTTCGTTTAAAATATCAGTATACTAATACTGGTCTTGTATGCCAGGGAAAATAAAAGTACAATGGCTTTCAGAGTCTAAGACATGATCACGACACCGGGAGGTCAGTGCAGGATTTCAAACACAGCAGAGATTAGCATGGCACCAGTTTCAACTGCTGGCTGGCATATTATGAGACACCAGTGTCTCAAGAAGACCGACCCTAAGATGTCACCACCCATTATTAGCATGTTACAAGTCAAGCCGGGCGAAGAAAGACCAGACTAGAACAAGATCAAGAAGCCAGGCCATCCCTCTAGAAGGTTCTTTGGAATTGTGGAATGAGTATAGTCCCAAGGCTTCCACTGAGAGGGCTCCTGCTTCAGTAGGGAAGTCACGGCCCCATTTATGGCAAACAGCACAACCGTCTTGGGTAGGAAACCAAGGACAGCTTGGCAGGATACTAGATAAGTTAGCAGCGTGGAAGAGTTGAATCCAAGAGTGGTATTTCCCCAGCTCTGATAATATTTTCTTCCAAAGCCTGACTGTGCGCAGATTTACATAGCATGATTGTCTTTGGTCTTACTACTAAAAACCCAGAGTCATTATTGGGGTAAGTGCTGAAAGGTCAGAGAAGTAAAGGAGCCAGCCACAAGACAGAATTCTTACCTCTGCCAACGCTCAGACTAAAGCGGTGATCCTGTCCTCATCCTTAGTCCTCTGACTGCCTAGATTGCCTAGACTGCCTTAGACTGCACTGCTCTCCTGTCTTCTCCTGCCTCATATTCCTCTCTTCCCCCAGCCATATCACTACTGTCTCTATACCCTTAGTGCTGGGATTAAAGGTATGGGATCCCAAGTCCTGGAATTAGAGGTATGTGCCATTAATCCTCCAGTGGTTTTTAGCTCTGAACTCTGTTCTTTGGGCAAGCTTTATTTGTTACAACACAAACAAAATGTCATTACAGATTTAGACACAAATTTCTCTCCAAAGTTGTAATGCACTGTAGCTTCTTGTGTGTTAACGTATCACAGTGGGTGTTGACAGGGGGGGGGCATTTAATTATCCGAGGGCTGCTGTGCTTTCATCGTTTCTTAGGTAATGAACTTGATTCTACACCAAAGTAAGAGGTACTCGCTGCTTCTCAGAGACACTGGGGACTCTTCAGTAGGTCCCATGAGAATTCAGTTATTCACATACACCCCAAGAGGATAAATGAAGCAACTGTCTGGAGATTTCAGGAAAACTACTGAGTCATCTTAATTATCTGGATTTACGTAAAATCTCATTTCAACAAACTTTGAGCTGCTGTCCTTATTATTTTGGATCTTGAGCACTTTAAATGAAACTATTTTAAAAAATTTATTGCTTGATAATTTTATACAGCGGTACAGTGTGCTTTGATCAAATCTGCTCCCCCCCCAACTCATCCCATCCTACACTTTTTTTTTTCTCCTAACTTCATGTATAATTTTGTTCTTAACTCACTAAGTCCATTTAATGCAGTCGGTATGTGCATGGGAGTAGGCCCATCCACTGAAGGGTAGCCAACCTATCAGGGCCCACATCCTTAAAGAAAACTGACCCTCCCACCCCAGTGGCCACCAACCGTCAGTATCTCCTCAGCTGCTTCATCCATGCTGGAATTTTCACTGTCCTGATCTTGTACAGATCTTGTGTACGCAGCCACAGCCGTTGGGTTCTTATGTGCCCTATCATGTGTGGAAAATGCTGTAGCAGTTCTCTGGAGGCACTGGCTCTGACACCCTTCCTGAGCCTTCTCCCGTGACAACCCAGGAGCTTTGGGAAAAGAGAATTGACACATATGTCCCATTAGAAGCCAAGCACTCCACAGTCTCTTATTTTCTATATCCTGACACGTTCTGAGTATCTTTGTTAGCCACAATTACCGTGGAAGAAGTATGTCTGATGATGCTTGAGAGCTGCGCCAAACTACCAGTATAGAGACACATATTTGGAGGGCAGTTTGATATTGTGTTTATTTAACAAGCCAAGAGAAGCAGGTCCTTCCCTAAGGCCTAGGGCTTCTTCAGCCATGAATTCTTGAGCTGGCCTACAGAAGTAGACCTGAATTCTGTTTTGTGGAATGGACCTTAAATCCAAACATAAAGTAGTTGGCTACTCCCATAATATTATGGCACTATAGCAACAGTAGGCGTGCCTTGATAGGCTGATTGTTATTGTAGCTCTCACTTGGTGACTTGTCTCCCTTAGCAACCTGAATGCCCCTTAAAGCCCCACAAAAGCTAACCAGTAGGGAGGAGGCTTCCATGTTGGTACCAGCTTGATTTCTTCCTGTGCTTCACATTCAAGTAGATGTCATCTTCAGTGATAGGACCTTACTTTCAAGTTCTGATGGGTAAACAAAAACAATGTCAAGAGCCTTATTTTTTAATACTTTTTTATTAATTATATATACAGTCTTCTGCCTGCATGCCAGCAGAGGGCACCAGATCTCATTCAAGGTGGTTGTGAGCCACCATGTGGTTGCCAGGAATTGAACTCAGGACCTCTGGAAGAACAGTCAGTGCTCTTAACCGCTGAGCCATCTCTCCAGTCCTGAGAGCCTGTATTTTGAGGGGTGATCGATGGGAAGTTCTCTTCCCTGGCCAACAACTTCAAGAGAGGGAACTGGCCCCTGACATGGAGCTTCTGTTTGATAGTCTATGACATCTAGGCGTTATACCCCTGTCTCAGCTAATTCCATTTAAACACTTCAAATGAAGATTTTATTCTTTAATAATCTATCTTGAGTAAAGAAAAGTAGAAAATGTCCATATTGATAATATATTTACCATGAACTCTATCACTGCCAAATGATTTTTTTTTAATTCAAGGTTATCTGAAAACCTCTGAACAGTGTAACTCAGAGACTATCAGTACTGTACATGTGGCCCTTGTTAAGACATTTGATTGTGTATAACTCCCTTGAGAGACCTGCACCCTTGCCTTGGTAGATGCACCCCTTTGCCTAGACATCTTTCTCCCTTAAGTGTGTGAATATACCTTAAACTACAAAAACCAACTATGTGTCTTATAGAGCAAGGGCTTCTGGGTTTCCTTGAATGAAAGCAGCTGTGTGCTAGGGTTCCCATCCTAGTCCATTTGGCGTCACCGGCATTCTGCTTGGATCAGCTTGTGCATGGCAGGGGCACTGTAAGATTTCCATCTGAGAGCTGCCCTGTCTTGTCCAGAACATCCTGTGTGTATATAGTGGGCTGCTTTGTCCCAAACCCTGGCCTTCCTCTGGCCATTCTGCACTGCAGGAGGACACGGAAGTCTGCAGCCTTACCTTCTCACACTATTACAAAAGCCTTAATATCACAAGGCGTGGGAGGCTGAATCCCATTAAGAAATAGAATTGAAACACAGGAATGGTATTCAAAGGACCTAATGGTGTCTAATGCCTACAGGGGGATAGATATTGACTGCATAAAGTGGAAGCCACTTAAGGCATGCTCCATGACTATCGTGGAGCTTTCTAAAAACAATTGCTTTATGCAAGAGGATAGTTTGTCGCAAATTTCCTTTTTCATTTCAAACTTACATTTTGTCTTATTAAAAGATGTTTACTTTTCCGTGCGCAAGTGTTTTGATGGTTGTGGACTGGTATGTGGGTGGCTAAGAACTGAACCCAGGTCATCTGCAATTGCAGATCATGCCCTTAACTACAGAGCCATTGTTCTAGACTCCAAATTCATATTGTTTGCTTGCTTGTTTGCTTTGAGACAGGGTCTCTCTATATAGACCAGGATGTCCCGAACTTACTCTGTAGACCAGGCTGGCCTTGAACTCACAGAGATCTGCCTGCCTCTGCCTACTGAGTGCTGGGATAGCACACCCGGCTCCAAATCCATACTTTAAACTATCAGTTGCCACCAGTACCTTGGGTTCTACTGGCAGCTACAAGGCCAGCGTGGTAAGCAAGCCCTAAGATGACTGCCAAGAATCCTGCCTCCTGGAACTCATATTCGGTGCTCACCCCGTCCTCTTGAGTAGGCTAAACCTGAGTCACTGAACTCTCTTCTAGAAGACAGCTTGTGCTAAAAGGCAGGGGACCGCAGTTCTGATTTAGACTCCCTCCTTGTTGGCTCCTGCCTTTTAGCCTCTTTAAGGCTACCGCGTTTATTCAGCCCACACGCCTTCTCTTGTGTCTCCTGTGTATCCATCCGAGGAAAGCCAGCCGCCGTATGGGTGACCCCAGAAAGGGTCGCAAGTGACAAGAAGCTGATGTCTTAGCGAACAACCAGCAGGCACCTGGGATCTGACAATAGCCACGAGTGTCTGAGCCCTGTTGAGTTGGCTTCCGGGGGAGAAACTCGGGAGTCGAACCTTAAGGTGACTGCACCCCTGAAGGACAACCTTGATTTAACCGGTGGGAACCTTTGAGTCAGCGACAATTAGCTAAGTGCGCCTGGCGTCCTGATCCACAGAATCACAAGACAACGATTTGAGTTTCAAGCTAATTTGGCGGGATGGGGGCAGTATGTTCTGGAACACAAGCAACCGATGTTGCTTCCGTTTTCTTCCGTTTTAACAGTCTGGTGAATGCCGTCCTTCCTTCTGCACCATACCGCTGCTTACCAAAACCTAACCATACCCACCTATTTTAAAATGTTGTATGGTCCTTTTGTGTTCTAATAAATAAGTAAATAAATAGAATAAAGACAAACAAATAGCAACAAAAAGCCCAGGCACAGAACCCCTGGGTTCTTGGTAATTGGACATTTATCAGCATCTTTTCAATGTGGGTGGTTGTTTGTTTCAACTACACCAAACCTGCTGTAATCCCCAATCACACCACGAGTTTTTATGCTCTCCTGATCTTCCCCGCAGGTCGTCTCTCTCTAGAATGTTCAGAAGCCCCCATGCCATTCTCCAGAACTGCTGTCCAGCATCCATCAGACCCAGGATGGGGCGTCCTCTCTGTGTCGCCTCCTCTGGTGACAGGTAAAGCAGGGCCTTCCCTCCCTTTCCTTCCTACAGTTCCCAGTTTTCCCTTTGGCGTTCTCTCCCTGGCTCAGCTACAGTCTCCCATGGGCAAGCAAAGTGCTTCTCAGAGCCAGAGTCAAGTGAGGCCATCGTGACCGGGCTCAAAACCCTGATCCCACCGTTAACTTTACACATAGTATTCGTCCGCTGAAACCTCAGTCTTCCAATCTGTACAATGAGGAGAATAATAACCTGCTGGTGGTGTTTGTAAGGAACAGTTAAGCGAAGAAGGGTACGTGAGAAGAGCTCAGGGAGGGCCTCCTGGCACTAGGGTTCAATACATTTTTTAAATTACCAATTGTGTCTAAAACTACAAAGACTAGCACATATTAAATTTCAATTAGCGTCTCCTGATTCTATAGGATGGTTTGCACTTTCACTGGGGGCAAATTACACAAAGAAGTAAAAGTATCATTTCAGACATCAGGAGCACCTAAGTTTTGCCTCCTCTAAAGACTAACCCTGAGTATTATTAATATTAAAATAACTAATAAGTTAGCAGGTAGGGGAGCACAGGGTTCATTTGTTCACTGTGCTATCTGTCAGGAGTCTGAAAATGAGGAGGCTTTCTCCAAAGAAAAGATAAATATTAATGTGACGGAGTAATTGTAGTCTTGAGGGTGCAGAAAACATTTCCATTTTCTGGGAGGAAAAAAATGGCCAGGAAATGCATGCGATGGGGCCTGTAGTGTTTGGCGGCAGGCTCTTCCCAGCTGTGGCATGCAAGCGGGTGGGGCACAGGCTGAGGAACAGGGTGGAGCGCCTGGGGGCCCAATGCTATACTTGCCGCCGCAGTGTGAGCCTTAGGCAGGCAGGACACATGGGTGCCATCTGTTCAGAAAGGGTGGGGTGGACATGCCCAGTCTCCCTGATTCGTGGCAATGGATGAAGGGACGGCAGAGATGATGTATGGGAAGACAACATTTGAAAGTTGAGGAAAACAGAAATGCACTCTGTGTGTTTCTGCGGCTTCCTATCTAAACGAGAAGTAACCAGGCACGTGTGAGGACAGCAAGGGAGGCTATAATTGAGTCTGCTTATGTAAATGTGGTGTTTTTCTTAAAAGCGGTCCAAAAAATTCTAAAGGAAGTCATAAGACTAAAAGTCATTTTAAGGAACTTTTTTTTCTTCTTCTTTTTGGAGTAGAAAAGATTTTTCATTTTTGGAACTAAAAGAACACACAAAAAAAAAAAAAAGAAAAAGAAAAAAGAAAAAAGAAAGGAAGAGAAAAGGACCCAGTATGAGGGAACTGAGCCTCAAGGCAGGAGGAGGGGGCTGCCTGGCTCAGGGCTTGAACCCTTGCAGGTGCCATGAAGACCATTGCCTCCTAAAGACCAGTGCTACATTTCCTCGTAATTGTGTTTAGCAACTTGTCTTAGGAGGAGCAACCTAGCTGCTGAGCTTAGACCTTTGCTCTAAGCAGATATCAGGGTGGAAAAATGAAAACTGGAAGACAGCTGCAGACATCCACAATCGCTCTTCAAAGGCCCCTCATTCCAGCAGAGAAAGATGACAAATGCAAACACCAAATTGTCCGTACAGCACTAGACTTAGATTATCCTCTGGGGACCAAATCCACTGGCCGCCAGGAGGGACACAGGAGCACGAAGGTGTCTGCAGTGCTAAGAGCCTCGAGGAAATAAGGCGAAACAAGACAAGGCTTTCAGGCCAGTGAGAAAAATCAGTCTGATGGAAAATTGACAAGCTTGTTTAACTGACCCCAGAGATCTCCACGACACACCAGGACAAGTCCCACCATCTCCATTAACTGTTCAATCACCTGACATCACTATGTGGTTTAGTTTTTGTTTTTGTTTTTTAAGTGAAACATCCACTTAAATTAACTTTTTTGCCATTGTGTTTTAAATTCTGATTACTTTCTCTCCTATCCTCTACCCCAAATTATTAAAATCACCAACTGCTCAACAATTAAAAATATTTCAGAAAGCAATGGTGCCAAATTTAGATTGACTAAAGTGAAATCCGACAGAAGGAAAGATATTTTCAACATTTCCATGCTTGATGCATTGTTTAAGGATATAGCAACGTGGAATTAAAACTGACATCTTGCCTTTCCCCCGTGAAACCAGCACGCATGTTTGGTGCCATTAGAGCCTAATTCTGTTCAGAAGGCACCTGAGTGAAGAAACACACTAGTGTATTCACAACATACTGATTTTCTTTCTTGCATTACTTCCCATTTGAAACATGCTTGAGCTGCGACATGATGATACAATACATAAAACAAAGTTTTGTTTAGGGAACTCGGGGTGATGACAAAGAAGTTCTTGGTTTCTTTTTTAAAAGACGTTTTAGAATTTTAAGGGATCTTACTGCAATGTCATAAAGTTGTAGCCATC